AACATATTGAGTTTTATGATTTTTGTTTTTTCATTTCAGTTTTCCAACTGACAGTTCTCAGTGCTTTCTAGTGTACGTACATATGTAACATACAATGTGTGGTGTCTCTTTGTTTTTGTACATATGTGCAACATTTATAGAGAACCGGGCAGACTATTGTCGGACGACGGACCGATTTAGTCTAATGTGTGTCTTTAGCGTTGTTGGAAATGTACGCGACGGTATTAAATGTTTTCGAAAATTCACAATAAATAGTTTATCTACACATGTGTATTTGAAGCGAATATTGTGTATATAAATATTTGTATAAATGTATATTGTACAATTATTTATGTGTAAATATACATATGTGTGTGTGTGTGAAAAAGTGAAAAATAAGAAACTTTTGGCAAATTTATATTTTGCGAAAGCTTAAGTTCATTGAATATATAAAACAGCCTTATATACAAGCAAAAAAGTAAAATAAGAAATAAAAAACTTAATTGAATAAAAAAAATTAAAACAAAACCAGTAAAATAAAATAAAATGAAAAGTAAAATAAAATAAAATAAAATAAAATAAAATAAAATAAATTAAAAAGTAAATTACATAAAGTAAAATAAAAATATAATAAAATAATATATAACATTTAAATTAAAACTAAATAAAGAAATTAAATTAAATAAGTTAAGTTAAAAAAAAGAAATAAAATAGAATAAAAGAATTAAATTAAATGCAACAAAATAAAATAAAATTAATTAAAATAAAATAAAGTACCTTAAATAAAATAATTTAATGATATTAAAAAAATAAAATAATAGAAATCAAATTAAAAAAATTAAATTAAAATATAAAGTAAAATAAAATATGAAAATAAAACGAAATAAATTATATGAAAAAAAAAAATAAAATGAAAAAATAAAATAAAATAAAATTTAAATAAAAAATAAAAATATAATTAAATATAAAAAATGACATAAATCAAATGAAATAAATTAGAAGAAAAAAATAAAGTAATAAATTATATAAAGTAAAAGAAGAAAGTGAATTTAAATAAAATTTAATAAAATGAATTAAAAAAAAAGATATAAAATAAAGTAAACGAAAAAACATAATAACATAAATTAAAACAAGTAAAATGAAACAATATATAGTAGCATAAAATAAATAAAAATTACTTAAAATAAAAAATAATAATATAAAACAAAATTTAACAAAATAAAAAAAAATTAAACAAAACGAAAAAAATAAAAAATAAAAATAATATAATAAACAATAACGTAAACTAAATAAATAATGGAAGCAAATAAGTGAAATTAAAAAAAAAAAAAAAAAAAAAAATTAAAATGAAGTAAATATCTAGAAACTAATAAAATAAAATATAGTATTATAACAACGAGAGAAAACAATAATTTCATAACATAGTTTATTTAAAAAAAATTTCAATTTCAAATTTCAAAATTTATACTTTGGTTATCATAAACAAGTTTGGTAGTAAAAAATATTTCAAACAAATTGTTGTTATATTCTTAAGAAAAATATATATTTTAGTCTTAAAGCTAGTGTAAACCAATAACTGTAAAAAATAAAAAATAAAGTAGATAACTGTATGTATACTCAAAGCAACAATTTAAAATTGTTTATTTATTATGCTAAGAGATATACATACATATAATATATATCTATGTATATCTAAAGGTAATTGGATATTTGAAACCATAATAATAATTAAGTTTAAGTAAGTAGTTTATGAACAAAAAAAAAAAACTTATTTAAAGGCGATTTATTTTTTTTAGAAAAATAACAAAAAATTAAAAAAAAGCCAATAACTTTGTATTTTATTTTGGGTTTTGCAGAAAAAAATTAATTTGAATTATTTTAATGTAAAATAGTTAAGCAAAAATTATTGGCTGCAAAAATAAATCGAAAATTTCAAAATATTACTATTAATTAATTTAGTAAATAAATTGCATGCATTTGTTTTTGTAACACTATTAAATTAGTTAAATAATTTTTTTTTTCAATATTTACATATAAACAAACATCCATAAGTATGCGCATTGAACTTAATTTAGAAAAAAGTTTACAATTTCACTTAAATTTGTATGCTATTTAATTAAAAGTTGAATAAATTAAAAACCGCATGTACATATATATATAAATATATATATATAAATATATATATTTATTTACGACAATATAATGTGTTTGTTTATGATTTCTTATTAATTTCATATAAACAAATAAAGTAATACTAAACAATAATATTACTTTGTGAGAAAGAAGATGAATAAATTTGCGTTGCTTATGAACGGACAATCGTGTCAGCCGAACAAAAAACATAGCATAAAGGTGTAGAAAGTAGAACTAGAGTCGCAGGCTTATTTTAATTAATAAAAATAAAAATATTTATAATTAAAAAAAAAAAATTAATAAAAGTAAACAATAAAATTATTCACACACATACATACATAATTATACTGAATTTAATAAAATAAAAATAATACCAACATATATAATTATAAATATAACTAATATCATGTCTAACAATGCTAAAATACGCATTAAATTTTATTTATTAATAATATAAAAACATTAAAAATTTTTAATAATGTTTAATACACAAAAACATAGATATTAAATAACATTTCTATAATCAAAACAGGAGAAAATTAAAAAAAAAATGCAATAGACGAACATACATACATATATTAATAAAAATAAAAATAAATATAATAAAAGAGTACAAAATAATTTTTCCAAAAATTTGTTGTAAATAAAAAAACATTTTAGTATGAGCATGTCAAACTTGTGAAAATGATTTTTAGAAATTTAAAGCAAAAAAAGATTAATTAAAGAGTATTACAATTTATTGTGTAAATATATATTTGGAAATACATACATACATACATAGGTCGCGAATAATTTGTTAAACCAGGTCCAACTATAGATTTTTGTTAAAGTAACTAATACAAATAAATAATAACAATATAAAAATGTATTGTATTTGTAAAAAATTAGCTTTAACATTTTTTAAATAAAAAAAAATATATTAAAAAATTAAAAAAAATATTTATAAACAAAATCCCCAAAGCATTTCTTTTATTTCGGTAGTGAAGAACAATTTCGGTTTATCTTCGTGTTGAAAAACTCAAAACCAGATGGATAACGATATCTCCAGCATTCTTGACGTGCTCACGGTCCGAGAATCCAACATCGACTCGTGCCACTATCTTGCATCCCAAAACCCAAGGAGGCCTCGATGTCGGAAGTTGCAATCACAAATAGACAGTCAAGTAGTCTGCTTCCCAACTTGCACACCACCTCTATGAGTGCACTCACAAGCAAGTCGGTATAAGGAAAATGTGGCACAGCTAACTAAGTGTAGCTACAAAAGGAAGATCTGGTACGAACGATGGGTATTGCCGTGCCGAGGTGTAGAAAATAATAGACTCCCAACTCGCGCTGTGTGGGAAAGTTAACGAGAGTTGAAGAAGTATGTGGGAGGCATTTATAAACAGTAAACGAATATGAAGAACTTGATTAGCTGGCAGTAAGGGGCGGTTGAGGTTCTAATATTCTACGACTTACAGAAGGTTTCAAGATCGGCGCATATTCGTGTAGGAGCCAGAGAGCTGATCTAGCGATTGAAATCCCGAGTAAAGTGGAGCTGAGTGGCAGTGATAATAGAGCACTAAAGAGTCGTTTCATTGCTCGACTATGAAGAAGTCCGAATAGCAATTGCCCGCCTGATAAACCACAGTTCAATTGCTGGTAGTAAGTAAGAATTTTTTCATAGGGAAGCCATTCATACTGGATAATTCGTTGCCTCTACCACCTAACGCACCACACAACGTTTCTGGCTATCAATTCTGGCTTGAGGACCGTTTGTGACCGCTCATCGCCCTTCGACCATGACTGTTTTGTTTTACATTGCTATAAGTGATCCTTTCATTCTACCAGCCACCATTCGCTTCAGAAATGTTGTGGTTGGCATCATATTCCAAATATCCAGAAATTTGAACTATAACAATGGCTTTTTGCAAACAGATTGTGGTTCCTGATTCACTACTAGAAAAGGACAGGTCTCTACATATTGACCTAGGCAAAGAGCGCCCTGCATATTAGCCACACATAAAGCAAAATCGGGTTATCAAAAGGGCCCCAGACCCACTGCTCGGAAGAAAAAAGTGTTTCCAATGCTAGTTTGTGCATAAAGTTACTACTAAAGCAAATTTTAGTATAAATTTTTGGAATAAATCGGTCCAAGTCTCACGTCGCGGAAGAAAAAGTGTACCCCAATAGTTACCGCTGTACCGAAATTCATGAAAATCGGAACGATTTGATATTAAATTAAGGTACATTTCCCCGAAAATTATTTCTTATCGAGTGCATCTCTCGTCCACAGGTCTCTACGATCAATGGTTCATGCCCCCGGTTGATACGTCAGTCATTCAGCATAAAGCCTTTTATATATATATGCGAGGTGTGACAATTAAGTAATGAGACTGATTCCATACAACCGTGTATTTCATATTTCAAAATTATTCTACAACTCAAAAAAAATAATCATCGGTCTTCCATTGTCGTGGCGAGCACCACGAACACACGTTTACTCAATACGACACAGCAGGCGAACTAAACAAGCTAGAGCGATGGCAAATATATCAGTGGAGAGGAGAAGGATGCCGGGAGAAGGGAAGGGGAATTTCAAGGTCGCAGGGTTAGCACAATCGCGAAAAATAATCAGTCTCATTACTTAATTGTCACACCTCATATATCGGTATATGACTCCTGCCTTGGACCTTCTAATAATGAAATTGTACTTTTTCCCGCGGAATAAGAATTATGAAGAAAAAGTAAGTAACTATTAAGAATTAAGCATGACAAAACCAGTGACGTCACTGAAGCGTGTTTGTAAGTAAAAGAAAAAGATGGCATTTATAATTAGTATTTGTAAATAAAAAGAATTAAATATTCAGAGCAGCGGCACATGACGAATAAAACAAAAAAAAAAAAACAAAAAGAAACTTGGAGAGCTGTCATTAGTCATGCCCCGACAATTGAGATCATAAATTTGATATCTGCGGATAACGGTGACAGTTGAATTAACTATCGATTACAAAACAGAGGTAAAGGTATTGGACTTAAACTGAGATTTGTATATAAGAGTGGACACATTCTTGTTAAGAAACACAACTCTTTCAGACTCAAATCGAACAACATGAAGTTACCATTAGTGTTTTTCACCACAAGTAAGTACCAGTCAAGGTTACAGTTTCAAAAAGTAAAGCACAAACTCTTTTCTCCTCTACCTTCACAGCTGTCATCTGTGCGTACGCCTACAGTTTGCCATACACCCTCTATGGCTCATCGGCTTCTAGTGAGGAGGAATATCAGGTGCTCGTCTCCTCTGCACTGGGTCAACGTCCACTCAGCTTACCGGGTGTTGGTATTTACAATCAACCCATTTTACAGGCGGTTAAAGTGAAAGTGCCACGCTATCTGACTCCGGATATTAAGAAGCTGTATATTGCACAATATTTGGCAGCCCGTGGCTTGACTCTACAAGATTTTGCCGCACAGCCGGCAGAGGGAGGTCTGAGCAATGTGGCGCCTGCTGACGGGAATGTAGCGCCCACACCAGAAGTGGATGTGGTGGTACGTATACAGCGGCAGGTGGGTGAAGTTTCAGAGGTTGCGGTTCCACAAGTGGATGCTAACAGGGAAACTGTCGCAGTAGCTGTGCCTGTTGCTGAACATTGAATCACTTTTACGATAATGTTTTAGTAGAAATAAAAAATTCTTAAATAAATTTAATACTCGTTTTATTTTTGGAAGTGGAAAGCTTTATTTACTGATATCCACACCGCCTTAGAAAATACTTGGAAGAGAGTTTGTGGGGCTTAGTATTCCCAACACTCTTCAAAGTGATCTTCAGCGGGAGAATCAGTACAATTAGTACTTTCATCTTTTATTTAGTTGTAGCTCTTGCCTTTAGAAAATCGTTCTGAGAGAACCCAGCGCTTCTTGTATGTACTAACAGGTGTGACAATTAAGTAATGAGATTAATTCCCTAAAAACTGTATATTTCGAAACTTCAAAATTACAACTCTGCCGCCCTCTTCAAAGTAGACCCCTTGGGCAGCTATACAACGATTCCAGCGCGTTTTTCATGCTTCATAACATTTCTGGAACGCTTCGACTGAGATTTCCGCGAGTACTCTCGTCACGTCCGCCTGGTTTCCTCAAGTGGGTTCCTTTGACCATGGATTTTATTCTAGGGAACAAAAAAAGGTACAGGGTGATTTGTAGGCCAAACAAGGTGGTTGTTGCAACACGGCGATCCCTTTAGAGGCGAAATACTGCGACACGCTGAGGGCGGTTTAGGGCAGTTCTTTGCGACCATCTTCGCGCACAACTTTCTCATCCCAAAATCGTCGGTTAAAACTTGTTTGACTGTTTCACGGTTCATACCCAGTTCCGACGCCAACATTCGAGCTGTTAAACGTGGGCCCCCACGGACTAGAGTGCGAACACGCATTCGTATAGTCCGCACCACGACTGATCTGCCGCTTCGCTCAGCGTCTTCCACGCTTTCATGCCGCTTCTTAAGCTCTTTATGCCAACGAAACACCTGAGCACGACTAAGAGCACTATCACCATGCACATTTACATTTTAGCGTACGTTTGCGAAGCTGTTTCGTGACACCAACATCTAGTGGAGTGCACAATATTCAAATTTATCTAACAGGAGTGCGAAAAAAGCGGGGCTAACATATATAGTTGAGCCTAAAAAGAAGTTAAGATCACTTAGTAGTGATGAGCCATTCTTGTCTGAAATTTTGAACTGATTAAGAAACTGTCTCGCCTAACAAAGTCATAACCTTACATATATCACACCTCGTCTTCATCTTGTTAAATAAGCAAACAAGCGTGTACTTTCACGATGAGACGACGCCAGGCGACTTTCAAAAGGACTGTGGTGTGAAGCCGTAGTAATAACGAGTAATCAATTCGGTCACAATAGCCGAGTGGTTAGCATCGCGTACTGCCATTCTGTACCCTGGCCTACAGGGTAGTTCCAGTTCGACCAACACTCAGAGTTAAATTTTCTAATTGTGATTGCCCCTTGTCAGAGAACTTCAACCTCAACCGAGTCCGTTTCTGATATGTAGTAAAAAAAGCTCTTTATAAAACTCCATCGCCAGTTCGGAGGAGGCTTAGTATAAATTGTGGGTCTCTCCATTCAGCGGTAAGACATCTAGACGCATACGACAAATTGCAGGAGGAGGTGCGTTCTTAACTGCAAAGAATACCTAGTTTTGAAAGTTCATCTGTCTTGCAGTTTAAGAAGCCAATCATGATCGTCTGACAGTCTGCTTTTTTGATCATCTTCTCCAGAGCACGATTAGAGTTTACTGTGTTGAAAACTAGGACTTTCATTGCCGTCTGGCTGTAGCTGAAGAAGAGTATACGGTTCTATACGATTAACCCTGTGACCCTCACCGACCGAGCGTCATTCGAAAAATACACTATTAAGATATCCTTCTCAATTTGTTGGGATTTTTTTAGACTCAACTCTAAATGAAGAAAGTATGCACTGAAAGTCTGTCAGTGGGTCGCTTCTCTCGTTCCCACAGATTTATGAATAAAAGTTCAGAGCACTAGTGGGGTGATATATGTTCCTAATCAATTTTAGCCTTAATCAGCTTCGCATTCTTGCACTTTTATCTCTCCCCCTTGCTTCTCTCTCCCTGTCTTCTGCAACTTCCGATAACTTTTTTTCACAAGCATAGTCCCTATGGCACCAGTTTATCGACATCTTTCTTAAATTATTTCTTTACAATATTCTTCAACTGATCTTTCCGACGTAGTGAAAGTGCTCCCTTCTTCTGCTTTCCCTAGCTGTCACCCATTTGCAGGGAACCGAAACCTTTCTTTCAAAAAACCCTTAAATACCACAACTCAAAGAAGAGGTATTAGAATAGGATATTACCCTAATACTTCATATTTATGTAGTTAGCTAAGTGTTAGCTAAGAAGACATGAAGTCCGTAGAGGTTATAAAAGACTGGAGAGTGAAAGAAAGGTCCACCTTAAACAGGTATCAGCGCTTAAAGCTTCGAAGGCAATGAGGCGAAGTATCGGCAAAAGTTGGAGTCCTTGCAGAGGAAGATGTACATATGGGCTTGGCAGTAACTCTGGGAAGATACCTTCTTTTTTCTCCAAGCTAATAGACTGCCAAACGATTAAGTGTATGTAGAATACCGAAAATTATGGGCAAATCACATGACGCAGAGCTTATTAAGTTCTCAACAGCCACAAAGGGATGAGACACCATACTTTCGGATGTTGGTCTGGCCCGGTCTTGACTTCATGGCTGCTGTCTTTATCTCTTCTGCTTTATCTTACCACTTCGGTACGAGCGTCCATTAGAGTCGATGGTCACAGATGTCCCCACACAGCCGCGTATTCACTACAATCGACGGCCATGACATGAGAGCGCACGGCCATGCGTCGACCATTGTCGACAGCCAGCACATACCGCGAATTTCTTTTCAACAGTCTTCCTGGTAATCATCTCTTAAACACCCACACATATTTGTGGCTTGGAATTACCCTAATATTCTCAGTGAAATGGACACTAAACTGGTGAACTTGGTACGTCATTAGCGATCGTTTACACCCTTTTAAATTAGATAGGAATCTGAGAATGCTTCGAAGAATGGAAAGTAATAAATCAGTCAAACGAAACTTGATCAGCCATTGTGAATGACGTTAATCAGAACTTCGATTATCAAATGGCCGGAGCGAGCTAAGTTAACTAACGAACTTATATTATATAAAATTTATAAATACACTGAGAAGTGCAGGGTGTGTATGAGCGACGCGAGAGAGGCGACTCAATACAGTGTGTGGCGAATGAAAGGCAGCAACAATGCCGAACCAAATAAGTACGAAGAGGAGGAGTGGTCGTTCGTAATTTGCATAACTCAAGGCGGGGTTTATGTTGAGTCTGCGTAGAATGTGTAATTGAACTTCGAGAATCTTATTTTGTAAACGATAAAAGCAACGATTAAGCTAATTTTACTTTTAAGTCCAGCTCAAAGGCAAAGGTTGCATCAAAGGCTTATGAAATTTGAATATAAAAGCATTTACATTCTGGATTAAAGACATTTATGAGCTTAACCCTCACAGCCAAACAACATGAAGTACTTGGTGATATTCGCAGCAGGTGAGTAGAGTAATCTTTATTGGGAGACTTCTTGCTTTGATTACTTACTGTCGTATTGTTTCTTCGCACAGTTCTCGTTTGCGCACAGGCCGTGCAATTGCCTTACATCGTTCAGACCAATTCCTTGGAATCCAGTGAGGAGGAATATCGCGTCGTCTTGCCGGCTAAAGGTCAACGTCCAATCAGCTTACCCGGTATTGGAGTGATTAATCAGCCTGTTGCGCAGGCGGTTAAAGTGAAAGTGCCCCGCTTTGTTACCCCCGAGGTGAAGCAACAAATTATCACACAAGCCTTGGTAGCGCGTGGTATAAGTCTACAAGATTTGGGCACGAAACCGTTGGATGCAGGCGCGACTAGTGCAACACCCGCTGCTGCTAAGGATGTGGTACGCCAGTTACGCCAAGCGCAAGTTGGAGGAGGAGTAGTAGTAGTTAGCGGTAATGTTGCACCCGTTAAAGTGCCACTAGTTCCAGCAGTAGCAGGTGTACCGGCAGTGCCAGTGGTTTCAGGCGGAGCCGCAGTGGTACCGAAAAGTGCTGGAGTGCCAGCAGCGACAGGCGTATCTGTAGGGTCAGGAGTTGCAGTTGGTTCAGTAGTGCCTGGAGTATCTGCTGTTCCCGTTCCCGGTGTACCAGTTGTTCCTGTTCCTGTAGTGCCCGGAGTATCTGCAGTTCCCGTTCCCGGTAAACCAGTTGTTCCCGGTGTACCAGTTGTTCCTGCAGTGCCCGGCGTACCAGTTGGTTCAGTGAATCCCGTAGCTCCAGTTGTTCCTGTAGCGCCAGATGCTCCAGCCGTTCAAGGTGGCGCAGTTGTGCCAAACTCTCCAGTTGTGCCAGCAGTACCAAAAGTACCTGTCGTCCCTGCGGTGAGCACTGCCACAAAAGCGCCAATCGCTGTTTTAACTCCAGCTCTTGCTAAGTCCAATTAATACTCCCATCATGTCTTATCCTAAAATACTTTGAATAATACTTTTTTTTTGTAAATTTTCATATCAGAAATAAACCGTTAAACGATTCAATTAATTTATTGTGACTTTTTAAGGTTAGTTTTATCGTAAAGCAGTGCTTAAACTCCCTGTACCTCATGCTTTCTTTCTTTGCTGTGCTCTCTGAGCCGAAGATAAGTTTTAGTCCCCTCTGCATTGCGTGCTTTCTATAGGTCCGGGTAGTCTTGCAGCTCGCAATGTGCCAAAAATTTCAATTTCATTCTATTCTATATTCTTTGCCGCTGTACGAAGACGGAGTAACTGCTTCGATGAAAAATTCAATGTTATGGTTTAGTATTCCGACGCTTTAGGGCATTGAAATGGGTTTAGGACCTTGCAACCCGATCCAAGTACTACATTGCTGTTTTGCCATATTTGTTTGTTCAGAACATCCATCTATGGCATGCATGAAATGAGAGTATCAGACCAATTACGGTGTGAGCCAAACATTCAAATATATTTCAAGTCCGTGCCATGATAACTTTCTTCAAATTGATTACTCGCGGACTTTTTGGATGCTACTATGATTGATATTGGTTTTAACTTACCAAGGGAAGTACGACGAATATTCTCTATAGAAAAACTTCATTAAGGATCGCCTTTATTAATTTATAAATAAAATTCTAGATCCACGAGTATATTCGTTTCGACCGACTTTTCTTTAAAAAATCGCAAATCCAACAGTGACGAATTTATAGGGGTTGTTGGGTTCAACGAAACTTACTCCGGATATTTGCTTTTAGGCACCACCGATTAACATTTCATTGTCTGATATATTACTAAAAATAACTTATATACCCAAATCCTCTGGATAGCTAGATAGCTGGTCCGGTAGGTGGCGACAGAGTCAACTTATTAGACGATTAATGCAAGACTCTAACATCCTATAGACGATGGATATATTGTGCTACAGTTTTGAGTTTTACGAGGAGTCCAGAGATACTCAACTTCAGCTCTGCCCGCCGTAGGTATATCTGAGGTATAAACAAAGGTCCAACAGTTCGGACTGTCCTGATGCTGATACTGTAGTGAAGTGAGTCAGCTATCTGCATGTTAAATAGAACAGCTACAGATCTCATCAGCTGTTAAAGTGTACGAGTATATATGTATGATAGAATAACACACAACGCCTATATTTCAAGGGTATTGAGTAAATATTCATTAATGGAAAAGAAGGCGAGGAAGACTGTTATGAATTTTGAGTACTCAAATGAGTATTGAAATCATTGCGCCCTACTTCAATTTATGGGATCAGTGCTGAACTTTTGTAAGGAGCTTTATGTTTTCTTACAGAAATACACCCGGATAGGTGGAAAGCTCTAATGCTTCCAAATTACTCACCTATTACTTAGTCATAGGATTATAATTTATTCTCTACCTAGACATATACATCATACGCGCCTGTGCTCGTGCCATCTCAAAAGATCTGAAAGTGTTTACTTCTTGACGTTCTGAGATGTGGCGTATTGCGCACTTGGACTAACACCTTCATCCATTTATAGTACAGTGAACTGCGAGTGTCGAGCACATTTCTCACTGTGGGGAAACGTATTACAAATAAACAAAATTATCGATCCGAGCATCCTCCCAGGCGGTGCCACCTGCCACACGACACCAGCGAATGTGGCTTCTTTGCTTGAGAAATTCCCCGCCCACTTTATCACCTCGTCGTGGAGACGCCAATCGGTCAACGAGATTTTACGATTTGACAGCGCTGGGCTTTCTTGAGAGTCTACGCGAAAGATTGTGTTTAAAGGGTTAAAATCCACAATTCGTCGAGTTATGAGTGCGATACCGCCAAACGGATAAAAGTTAGCGAAAATTCGAAAGGCCATCATTTGGCAAATAATGCCACACTTCATAATATTATATTTTGCCTTAAAAATATATAAAACCACACCACTGTACGCCTGCCGCCATGCCATTACCTGCCGAAAGCAACTTATTTTCGAGCTCGAAACAATAAAAACGCCTGAGAAGGCAAGATACTGACGGGTAGCGACATCCTTACGCGCTTATCGCACGGCGTCGTCGACTCGCATAAATTAAGGCATATTGGAAAATGAATGTTATACAGTGTTAACAGTACAATAAACAACAATCAGGCGTTTTCGTGGAATGTTACGCCAAAAATACGAACCAGCAATCAGAAGCAAACGAACAAAAGAAAGCGACAAATTTGTCTCGGAAGAGATGGACTGAAGACAGCTGGTGGCAAGTGAGAGCTGAATTTGAAACAAGAACAAAGCAAATTAATAATTTAAATGAAGTAAACAACACGCACATATTTCAAATAATTATTTACTTCACTGCATGTATGTGCGTGTATGTATGTATGTATGTATGAAGGTATGAGTAAAAATACTTTTAATCGATATACTAATTTAAAGGAACTGACATCATGAGTACGTAGGGAAGTAACAACAATAAAATACATATTTATCAATACACTTTATGACGCGAATTTGTAATACACACAGACACTCATATACATACATACGAGTATATACAACGACAAGCACCGAAACGATTTCTGGAAAGCACGAAAAAAGTTAAAAATACTCAAAAAACGTCTCTCAGTTAAGTAATTATGGAATTTAATGTGTCAGTTTGTAAGAAATATTTTTTGAAATTTTTAATTCAATATAAAGCCGTGCATTGGACTGGCGAGTGTGTATTATGGAACGGATCTTTTGGTGGTAAAGAAGGAATATGAAGTTGCTAGTGATATTTGCCGCAGGTAAATAATGGATTGTGTTGTGTTGTAAATTTGTGAATTGTTGAAAAAAAAATGAAAATTAAAAATTAGATTCAACATATATTTTTTTAATTCATACTTAATTTTTTTAATTTTTTTTCTAATTTTTTTTTAAATTTTTTTAAAATAAATTTTTAATTTTTTTTTTATTTTTTTAAATATTTTATTTTGAGTTCATATTGAAATTTTTGTTCAAAAATTATCGTTTTTCTGCAAACTTGTAAATATAATATTTAAATTTTTTTTAAATTCAGTCAGTGCAAAAGTAAATGATGGACTGTTTTTCGGAGTATTTTTGTGTGTTAAAAAATTGTAACATTTTCCTCTAATAATTATTTTAATTTTTTTCAATATATATATATTTTTTAATTTTCAATTTACTTTTTCACTTCCAACGAAAAATTGCTAAAAATTATTTAATGCTCCAGTAAGTGCTGGTATGTTTTTTTGGTGTATATTTGTGACTTAAAATGGATTGATTGATTTTAGAAATTAAAAAAAAAAATTAAAAAAATATTTAAAAGAATTTTCATTTATTTTATTAAAACTCAAATATAAAGTTTTCCCAGTTTTTTTTTCTAAAAATTTATTATTTTTAAAATTAAACTTTAACTTGCTTGGTCTATTCTCTTTAGGTAAGTTATGGAATGTGCAGAGGAACGTGATTGACATTTTTTTAAATTAATTAAAAAAGTTGAAATAATTTTCAAAAACCAAACTCATTCAACTTAAGTTTAAATTAATATGATTTAACTTTTAAAGTTAATCTAATATTATTTTTTGTTCTTTTCCAAAGTATTTTCAAAAAATTCAATAATTTCCTGCTCAAGTAGGTAATAATAAATATATAAATAAAAATAATAAATAATTGGTAATGCCTTTTGGAGTATTTTTGGGAGCTCTTAAAAAAACTTAAAATTAAATTGAAGTTAAAAAAAATTTTTTTTTATGCAATAACAATATTATAAATACTTTGTTTTTATATTTTTTAAATATTTAAATTTTTTAAACTACTTTTTATTTCTTCATATTGGAAATTTGAAACATTTTGACCTTTTCTAATCAACTCTTTTTAACTTTTTTTAAATTTTTTGTTTTTCTATCCAAGTGAAAAGAGGGTGTTTTGAGGCACTTATGTGAAATTTAGAAAAAAGGTGAAAACTTTCACATTAAATTTTGTTAAAATTAATTTTTTAAATAATTTTAATTTAAATGTTTTCTTTGGTTGTCAATTTTAACTTTATAGAAAACTTAATTAATTTTTATTTTTATTAAGTAAACTACGGGGCCTTGTTGTTTGTATGAATTGAATATTTGTTATACATTAAAGAAAAAAATTTAATTAAACTATTTTAATATATTTTCAAATTTATTTCAATTATTCATATTAAAATTTTTTTAAATATTTATATATATATTTTAAATTTAACTTTCGTTTTAATTATACATTAAAAATGTTTTTTATTTTTTTAATTTTTCGACCATATAAGCAAAATAATGTGGTTAAATTTTGAAATATAAGACATTTTCAGTGAAATTTGAAAATGATTTAATTTAAATTATGTTTAAAAAATAATAATAAGCAAACAAAGAAAATTAAATGAATAATTACTAAAATAAAAAAAAAATTTACAAGAAATTATTTAAAAACAGAAAAATTTGAAAATAATTTTAACAAAAAAAAAATAATAAAAAATTTTTTTATTAAAGTAATTAAAAAATGTATTATTTATTTCAATTTAATTTTTTTCAGCTTTTTATTAATTTTTTGAAACAATTTTTAAAGTGTTTTTATTTGATACATTATTTAAGGAGAGTTTTGAAATCATTACTAAATATTTTTGTCGTTTTTTTTATTGTTAATTTAAATCATTTTTTTTTAACAGTAAAATATTTTAAATTTCTTTTGGTTGGATTAATTCGTTTGTAATATTTTTGGGGTGATTTAAAGGTTAAATCCTTTTATTTATTTTTTTTTTATTTTTTTTTTTCTTTATAAATATTTTTTTTTTTTTAAATAATACTATTGAACTTTTTTTAAATTCATTTTCGTAGCATTTTTGAGATGTTTTAATAATTTCAGATTTACAAGTTTTTGTTATAATTTTCTTACAGACTTTTTTAAACAATTTTTTTTCCATATATTTTTTGAAAATATTTTTTTTTGAACTTCCTTTCACATCCTTTTTCTCAAATATTTTTATTATATTTTCCTTTCTTTATTTTCTCCACAGCGCTGCTTGGCGTTCAAGCAGTACGAGTGCCGTATATAGTCACCGACGAGAATGGCGAGAAATATCAAATACTTTTACCGCAGGGGGGGCAGGGACAAGGACAAGGGCAACAACAACAACCGTCATATGTCAATGTAGCTAATCAGCCTGCATACGATTTTAATCCGCAAAATTACCAGTTGTATTTGCCACCCAACCAACAAGCGGTGGTGAACTATCCACGTGGCGTGGAACTAGTCAGACAACCCGTTGCAAGAGGTCTAGGAGAGTTATACCTACCACTTGGTGTGAGCAAAGAGATAGCGCCCGACTACGAGGACAGTGATGAAGACTACAAGTGGCGACCTGTGTATAGGAAAGCACAATCCGCGCAGCGTGAAGACTCAGCCAAGGAGTCCGACTCAGATTCCAGTGAAGAAGATGAGGATAAACGTAAACGGAAGAAGCAAAAGGTGCAAAAACGTAAAGACTCCGGTTCGAATGAGGAAGACGATAGTAATGATGATGACGTGGATGATGAAGAGGAGGAGGACAAAAATGTGGACGTCTACAACTTGATTTTGCCAAATAATATACCCCAACAAGTGCACATACCCGGTTTGGGTGTCGTCAATCGACCGGCAGTTAAAAAGGTCAAGGTTGAAGTGCCACACTATGCAGACGCCTTCCTCAGGCAACAAATAATCGAGCAGTTTTTGGCTGCACAAGGTTTAAATCCACAAGCTTTTGATGTGCAGGCGTTAATCGCACAGAAAGCACGCGTACAGAATCCCTACAATACCGGTTGGGATCTACAATACTCAGATAACCAACAAGCAGTGGAAACACGTAAGTACAGAAGACCAATTAATCTACAACAACTTATGTATGTCACTGTGCCGGAGCGTAAGAGACGTGCAGCGCCTGCGGTGAGCAGCACTGAAACTACTCTGGAGTCCACCACCACAAACACTTTAGATATCACAACAGTACCTGATGTAACTGAGACGAGTACAATTCTGGAAACGACAACAATGACCGCGTCCCCGGAAGAAGTTACCGTCACTACAGAACCAACTCAAGCGACCACGGCGCAACCGTTGGTAGCTGTAATTACGAGCCATCCAATACTCGAAATCGAGCTCGAACCAGAGCCGGAACCCTTTATACCGCTCTTCGGTTACGGCTCCATACTACCAGCGGAGGTTTCGCGTGTGCCTTTCGTGCCAAGAATAGCTGTCGATACAGAGGTCACCTCAACCAGCGCACCAGTTGAAGACGTGAAACCACTTTTCGCAATACACAGTCGTCACGCACGTGCTGTACCCTTTGATATAAAAGATTCCACAAAACTAAAGCAGGCGACACCAGTGCCACCTGTGCCGAAGACAGATGTGCGTGGTCCGAAAATGTCTGCTCTACCGAAGTCGCGTTCGCTACGCGCTGTGGATGTTGATATTGTGACGCCGCCGCCGGTAGTTACGGAGACTGATGCTGCTGTTGCTCCTAAAGTCGTGCAGTCGACTACAACGGTGAACTGTGATATTGAGTGCACTAAATTTGATTTGAATCCGGTTTGTGCCTTCAATGGCGAATGCTATCATGAATTCCCGAATCAATGCGCCATGGACACATTCGTTTGTCAGCGGCCGGAATTGGGTTTCACGTCTACGCCGCGAGAACGCTGTGTTATGCATTGGCTTACGCGTTGTACCTCGCAAGATTTCAAGAATGAGTAGTGGGTATTCTTTGTATTGTCAAGGATGAAGTTAGTTTTATATGGAAGGAGACAACTTTTTTATACTTTCTATGTCATAAATTTAATTTAAGAATTTATAATTATCATGCTTCACGAGAAAATATGTATTTTATGTAAATATTAAAAGTTCTAGATCAATAAAATTGTGAAATCCCAAAGTGTTTTATGTCATTCTGCCATGAGTAGTTGAGAGAAACGGCTACTAAAGGACCTTTGCCTATATGGCAAAAGGAATTCATGCTGCCTATGAACGGTTGAGGGATTTTTGTGGGAATATATTCACCTCATGTCTGAACTACGCAGGAAAAAACCTGTGAGATTTATGTCTGCCTACGGCTGGCACCCAGAATCAGCTGGACACACGGTAGCGCACACTGCTAGCCACCCGACTGGTTCTCCTTTCATTAACTCAACCTGTACTCAATACCAGTCACGAGAAGCTTTTCTGGTATGAAGTTGCCGAGCAATTTTTCTGTCTTCCAAGATCAGTAAGATTAAACTTGGGGCTTAGCCAAATCTATATCTCGAAGCTTCCTCGTCCAAACTAATGCTGATGATTGCTAGTTATTGGCGTCTGGCCAAGATAATGGCGACTTATGCAAGAAGACTACAGCTACAACCCACGAAATCTTCCACGATGTGTAAGTCGATGACGTAAAAACAGAAGTTGTAAGAGAAGAAGACCATCCTCCTCTCGAAAGTTCCCAAAATATATATTATTCTATGTGGATTGTCTTTTCTCCTCGATCAATGAGCAGATCTATCTGGTCACAAAACATTTGCCTACTAATTGCTCAACCCAACTGAAATTCTATCCACAAGAGAAGGTCGATCGCTGCAAATCTAAATGATTTATATTGCGTTTTGCCATTCTAAGGTCCAGAGTTTCAGTCCTAATCCGACAAACATCTAAAAATTGTGGAAAAATTATATTCCCAATTGCGGTCGCCCACGGCAGGTAAGGCCTCCAAGTGTATTATTGACATGAAATAAAAGCTTCTCATGAAGATCCATTGGCCGTTTCGAGGTCTCTTCATTTGTTAGGAAAACCTCAGGCCACAAACCACATATAGAAGGAGGAATTCGGTGGAAAATATTTTCAACGGTTATGATATTTTATGGTAATTAGAAAAAAAAGTACAGCTGAAACCCAATACTAGTGGAAATTTATGGTGAAGTTGTTCCAGTCGAAAAGTCATGTAGAGAGTGGTTTCTAACGCTTCTAACCTCTACAACTACAATTAATGCGTTTCACAAGGTTTTACAAGGTGATTTTGTAACAGAGCTGCAAGCTCAAAAACTAACTGGAAACGGAGGTCTTATCCCATCTATACACCTCCTGCTGCTTCTAACTACGGGATTTTTCGACGAATGCTGAACTATTAGATCGGTCTGCGGTTAGGTCCTTTTGAAGAGATCTAAAAATGGCTTGTAGATTAGATCGAGGACAGAGAGAACTCATTTTTTTTTAGGGATTTTATTCAAAACTTGTCAGAGAGATGAGAAACACTACTTTTAAAAGTAATAGTATATTTTTTCAATAAAAAAATGCTGTTTTTGAACACAAACAAATCAGACAGAATTAATTTGTACTCCAGTATATTTATAAAAACAATATTTTTAATTAAAAGAATTAACTACCATAGTTTAACATAAAAATAATTAATATTTTAATCAATATTTTAATAACAAAAGCAGTCTATGTTTTCATAGAAAACAACCTTCGTTGAGAATAGCACCGCACAGACCCGAAAATGAGCAGTTTGGGGAAAAAAATTTATTTTCTACGCAGAGAAAAAAATATTTTTCTTTAAGTTCAAGAACGCCTTTTCTATTCCAGTCGATAAACAATCGCTGGCAACTTTTTACGCTCACACTTCTTCCGCTTGCCAACAATCAATGCAACGCGCTGTACCGTCATTTTCGTACGCTGACGTACGCTCCTCACTGCGCGGTCTATCGTAAGGAAAATCATCATCATAGTAATGTTGTTGTTGCTGATGTTGACCATGTTGTTGGTATTGGTGTTGACTGCTGATTAGAGCCCAGCTGGTGGTTTTGGTAACAGTTATATGGAAGAGTACTGCAATTTATAACGGCATAAGGAGTTTATTAATAAGAATAAATGTATTTTTATAAAACGAGAAATGAAGTTTCTTTTATAAAATGAATAAATAAAATCTTTTTATAAATTGAAATATGATTTTTTTCTTATTAAAGGACAAATAAGCAAAAAAAAGGTTTCCTTTTGTAAAATGAAAAATGAGAAAAAAATTTTTTTAGGAAGAAATTAAACTTTTTTTAAATATCAAACCATTTTTTGTTCTTTTTCATTAATATTAATATTACAATTTTTAATAATTACAATTTTTTTATTTATCATTTCATAACCTTTAAATTAAAGAAATATTTCATTTTCTTTTTAAAAAACGAGAAATTAAAATTTTTTGGATTCTTTATTAAATGAAAAACAACTTTTTTTTTTTAATTTTCACTTTAAATTTAAATTTAAAATTAAATTTTTTAAAATGTAAAACTTCAGTTTTTATATAAAACGAGATATTAAACATTTTTGTAAAATTTTAAATGAGTTTTTGTTTTCGATTTTTTGTTAAATGTTAAATAAATTTTTTTTATAAGATAGGAAATAAAAATATTTTTATAAAATAATTTATTTTTGACCTTTTTATAAAACGTGAAAGTTTATTTCTTTTCTGTGTTTTTTTATTAAATGAAAAATTATATTTTTTTTTAACCGAAAATGTAATTTTTTTTAAATGAAAAATTTAGGTTTTTTGAATATTTATTTATTGAATGATAAAAGCAATTGTGAAATTTTTTTTATGAAATGAAAAGTAAAATTTTTATTAAAAAATAATTGAAATATTTTTATAAAATTTAAATCAATTTTTTTTTATAAAATCAATAAAGAAATTTTTTATGAAATGAAAAAGCAAACTTATTAATTGAACGAATATTTTTTTTTATTAAACGACAAAGTGAATTAATTTTCTATTTTTTTTTTTATTAAATGAAACATGATTTTTTTTACCGAAAATGTAATTTTTTTTAAATGAAAAATTAAGTTTTATTGGAGTATTTGTTTTTAGAATGATAATTTTTTTCTTATAAAAAAAATATTGAAATTTTTGTAATGAAATGAAAAAAAAAATTTTTCATTAAATAATGAATCAAATATCTTTATAAAAGGAAAGTTAATTTTTTTTTATAAAAACAATGTTGAAAACTTTTTTATTAAATGAAAAAGCAAATTTTTTATTGAATGAAAAATGTTATTTTTTTTTTATAAAATAGTAAATGAAATTTTTTTACAAAAAGAGCAAATAATTTTTTTTTATTGAAAAAATATATTTTTTAATAAAATGAAAATTAATTTTAAAAACTTTTTAATAAATAAAATGTTTCTATAATTTTTTTTTTATAAAATCACTATTGGAATTTTTAACGAAATGAAAAAGCAAAATTTTCAATTGAATGAAAAATTACACTTTTTTTTATCAAATAAATATTTTTTTTTTTAATAATTTTTTTGTTTATATTTCTGGTTTATAAAGTCAAAAATAAAAAAAATATTTACCTAAGCAGAGAAATGCGGTGAAATATTTCATTATTTTCACTTGCTTCCTACGCGTTGTAAAGAAATATTTATTTTTTTCAAATTTGGTCATTGACTATGTGTGTGATGTATGTATGTATGTATGTATGTGTATACGCAGGCGCTTCCTTTCGACAACTCGATGCTTACGTTGTGAGTGCTAATGATTTTCAAGTCGATTAAAGCTTTTATATTTCTGGATTGGTCTCTTTGGTGCTGAACCCCATTTCTTGTGGCATTCTTTTTGTGCTGTGACGCAAATTGGTTAGGAATTTTCTTTATTTTTCAACATTTTTAAGTTTTTTGTATTTATCTTTTTTTTGGTCATTTATTTAATGCATTCATAAGGGAATATTAATAAAAAATTAATTTATTATTATCTTACAACTTTGGTACAATTTTGTGCTCATTCAAGATATGTTTGTATGTTTATATTAAATATGTGTTTACATGCACATATATATGTATGTTTGTGTCATTTGGGTGTGCTTTAGTTATTTAATTTGGCTAATTTGCCCTCTGACGTGCAGAAATGTATCTGATTATTGTTCGCCAGAGCAAACTGGACTGATGAAGAAAAAAACTTTCACGAAGAAGTTGCTTCTGCGACAAACACAAATGCAATGAAATGAAAATAAATGCATGTATGTATGTATGTGTGTGTATATTATTAGGGTAAAATGTATTTATTTCGATATTCTGTACAAAAAGCGCATGAAAATTTGTTTAGCATAATTTTGACATTTAATTATTAAACCTTCGGATCTTTACTGATTCATGGAATGTAAGTACCGAGAGAATCAAAATTTTTAGAGGCTGGCCGAGATGTTTAAATTCTTTTTCAGCATCGTCAGCGTGACTTCATATTTATAAATTTTTTTAAAGAATTTAAATTTTACGAAGCAAATTTGATGAACTGAAATTATGGTCAAAGATCGCATGATGTAGTTTCGAAATTTTTAAAGGATCATACAATCGACACCAAACTACGAGGCGAGATTATCAGAATACTTTAAGATGTCCACATAGTCTTTCTAACGGAAAAGTAGTATTCCTGGAGTTTTTTCGTCCACCCAGACCTATCCAGCGCAACCGTTGTTATTGATTTTGACGCAGGCTTCTAAATAGTGGAAACTATCTGCGGCCTCGAAGTTATGACGTTAACAAGGATGTGGCAATGAAGACCCAAATACGCTGACTGTTTGTCTGATGATAGGAAATATTTCATCTATTGTCCTTGTATGTCCTTTCACTTCGCTTACTTATCCAGAAAGAAAGCAATAATTACGCCGCCGTTCTTGAGACCGTTAATATGCATATCATTGGCATACGCTAGCAGTGGTACTTTCTTGTAGAAGATTGTACCTTCTTTGTCCAACAGAATATATTATTTTCTCAAGCCTTAAACAAACAAGGCCTCAAGATAGAGAGTCACTCTGCTGGAAAATTCGTTTAGTATCGAACTTCTCGGCTATGTCTTTTCCAATTCTTATAGAACTTGTGGTTTTGTATGGTAGACGGAATAAGCGAGTAGTTACCACTGCGTACTGACTTTGCAGGATTTAACTCCTGGTCAGAGCAAACAACCAAAATCAATGAAAATTATTTTTTCTAATTGCAGTCGCCTGGAGGCCTCCGAGTGCATTTTTGCTATGACATAAAAATATCCTTATAAAAACCCATCTGCCGTTCGAACTGGTGACTTAGAATAAACTGTAGGTGTCTCCATTTGTTGAAAACACACCACCAACTGGAGCTCCTTCTCGTACTATTGAAGGCAGCTTTGAAACCAAAGAAGTGTGTTTCTCACTGGTCTTTACCGAGATTTGTTGCATGAAGAATAACTAGTAGCTAATGGTATGTTTGACAACTCTGAAGCTACACTAATAAGGAGCAATCAGTCTTTTGACCTCTCACACAATATAATATACAATTTGCGCTTTGTAAAACCGTTGAATCCATTTTCGGCCGAGCTCCACTCTCACACAACACGCTAGTTATTACCCTATATGGGGTTATCTCTCTTTGGGTTGGGCGGAATGCACCTCAAGTGACAGTCGTCGAGCATGCTTTCGTCCGACCAAATTCGGCGGCCGTGCTTGAATAGCTCAGCCGATAAGTCATCGGCTATGACCGCTTTGTTATTCTGTAAGCGAGCAATTCGCGCGAGTTATTCGAACTTAGTCATGATTTGGTGATGGATCGTCTATTTTAAGATTAAGGTTTTGGACTCGCCAACACCAGGTTTTTCAGTTTCTTTGAAGTTGAGCAGGCTGGAGAAGTGTTTTTTTCTTTTCACTACGCTGCAGCAATCCTTAACACACCAGCTCTTCCATCGATCTTGTCGAAAACCGTTAGTGTCGTTCGGGTTTATACATAGAAAGCGTGAAACGCCATCGTACGGTTCCCTTAAACCAAGTTGTTTCAGCGAGTAGAAGTGTAAGTCTTCTAAATATAAAACCCTTTGCTCGTGATTTCAACTTTTCGGAGTCGAGCGCTGGCAACGGTAATTGATGTATGAAGGTAGTTATGCCTCATGACTGCTATAGGATTGTGGTGCCAGCCGATGTTGAAGGCTCCCATTTATGATCGTTGTGCCGAAAGTATAATACTTTCTTTTCCAAAGTCAAAGCCACAAGAGATTTCTGACAACGCTATGGCAGCAGCCCCGATAGGTGCGCACCAGACGCTCATACGTAGGCTTGGCGTTTTATTGCTGAATTTGCTCACCAATGAAACCTTGGCGTTGAGGGATAAAAGCCGAGGATATTATGAGCTTATTCTACATCTCCACTCAGTGATTTTTATAAGTTCATTCATAGTGTGAGGGGAAGAAATTTCTTGAAAAAATAGTATGTACCAACAAAGATTACCGGAAAGTACTCCTTTCGATTACGATTTCTGCTTCGAAATTTAGGTATGGCTTCTGATATCAACTCTTTGGAATTACATTTTCACCCGCAAAAAGTTGAAAAATATCTCAGAGCGCACCGGCTGAGTCCAGCCTCCTCATGCAGGAATGATACAGAATATTATAGTAACCATATAATTTTCTTGGGCTTCACCGTAATATCGCGGCGATTTCTTTAGTGCAGAGGAAACCTCCTGGAACTACTTTTCGGAAAAATAGATAAAGATTTAAATCTGTAAAAGTAATATAGACTCAAAATATGATATATGCCATGCTCTCTGACAACCTGGCCATGAAAGTAATAAAAATTTGATTACAAAGGACATGCGCCACTTTCATATATTAACAACAAAAGGCTTGTACAGTTATTTATACAAAAGATTTAACTTAAACGCCTAAAGGTATGCTTAATTAATAACAATGAACTTTACAGTATTTGTACGTCCATATGTATGTATATACGTATCACCGCCGTGTGCCAAAGCAATGAAAATCAATGTGCATAAATTAAAAAGAAAAAAATGCACAAGCAAAACGAAATCATTGATTGCTTCTCTCTTATAACTGTTGTTATTATAAATTTTTTATAACTTTAATACTACCAAACACTTAACGGTATTTATTATTAACATATTTATTACTTTCTCATTAACAACCAATATAATTGCGCTTAATTGTTGAACAAATGAAGACACCCACTGGCGCTTTTGATGAATGTTCGTATGTGAGCATCATTTTTATATATAACTGATATATATGTGTGTATGCGTATAATCATAAATAAGCAGCACTCAATTGAACGTCTTGACTAAGCATTGCATATTTCAAATTAAGAAATACTTTGTCGGCACTTAAACGATTCTGTTGCTTTGCAATATTAATTAATGTGTTAATTTTATGGGTTTTTTGCCACGTCGTCAGCTTGTCTCGTTGAAATTTTAACTTGAAGCGTGTGACCTAAAATGTGGATGCTTATGAGGCATAGCATGTGTGGCTGAGCAGATTAGAATGGATAAATCAGGTTTGATAAAATGTCATTGCACTTTTTCTCACTCAAATCGAAATAAAAAAAAAGGCAAAATAAAATAAAATACAATTAAAAAAATAAATAAACTAAAATAAAATAAAGTAAAATGAAATAAAATAAAATAAAATAAAATGAAATAAAATAAAATAAAATAAAATAAAATAAAATAAAATAAAATAAAATAAAATAAAATAAAATAAAATAAAATAAAATAAAATAAAATAATACAAAATAAGATAAAATAAAATAAATAAAAAAAAGTAAAATAAAATAAAAAAACTTAAAAAATAAAATAAAATAAAGTGAGATAAAATGAAACAAAGTAAAATAGAATAGTTAAAAAAAATAAAATAAAAGAAATGAATCTGAAATAAAAGTATAATATATTAAAAGATTAGATATGAATTAAATGTAATTGGAAATTTAAGATAAATAAAAAATGTGTGAAGTCCTTATTTTACTTAGGAATATAATTAAGTGCATTTGTGTTACCAACAGCTACAATCATACAAATGGTAAAAATATTACTTTTACCAAATTTTATAAATATTATTTAAATGTGCTTAAAAATAAAAACCTCACAGCAGAAAGCAACGCAATTAACCAAAAATTACACAGCATCCAAATTTTTGCATTACCTGTTTTAACAACAAAAAATGAGAATCTAAAGAAGCCTTCAAGAATATTCAAACACCATACAATCTTTACACGGCTTGAATGGAAAATATTTAGCACACAGCAATATGGTGTAAAGATTTGCATTAAACATTCAAAAAGAATAAAAATTTGAAATTTTAATAATGTTCCAGACAAAGGAAATGAAACGGTCACAAATTTGGTGACACCGAAAAATAAAAAGAAAAAATCATTAAAAAATAAAATCTGCGTTTTGAGGTATAAAAAGCACTTGCGGTCAGTTAACCGAAGCGCAGAACGTTTCTGAACGTTCGCTGTGAAAGTGCGTTTGTGGAATCCTGGATTTAAATTTTTTGTTTTCAAAACAAAGTGTTCAATATGAAGAGCTATATATTAATTGGTGGGTATTTAAAATTTTTAATATTTTTCTTCTAAAATCTATTCAAATATGAATAAACCGTTAATCAAAAGTTTGCTGTAATAAATAAATTAGAGAAGCTGATAAATTTGAAAAAAATTAAAAATAAATCATTTTAAAAGTTTAATTGTAAAAATAATTTCTTTTTTCATTCCAAAACATTTTTTCGCTTCTATTACAGTACTCATCGCTAGTGCTTTTGCACAGCAACAGCATTATGGTCATCATCACCCAGGTCAACCAGGACAAGCTGGACAACCTGGTCAGCCTGGTCAGCCAGGACAGCCTGGACAATCCGGTCAGCCGGGACAACCTGGTCAGCCAGGACAACCTGATCAGCCAGGACAACCTGGTCAACCCGGTAAGTCAGGGCATCAACATATTCACAGCCACCATAGCCACCATCAGCAATCTCAGCACGCACAAGAAATCGCGCAACATGTTCAGCAAGCACTATCGCATACTCAGCAACATGGGTCGCATCATCAACATGAACAGCAAGTCGTATCAAGTGCACTACATGTTCATCAACACGGTCAGGCAGGTCAATCAGGCCAACAACATGTACATAAAGTTCAGCAACATGTTGTTCATGGACAGCAACATGTTACTCATGCACAGCAACCTATTTCCCATGGTCAACAACATGCTGCACAAGGTCAACATGGCCAACAACACAATTCACAAGGTCAGCAACATGCTTCGCAACGCTCGAAGCAACAACACATACCACATATACCAAAAATTAAACTCACTAGCGTTGTGCAACATGTACCCATCCCACATGAGAACTACGAATTGCCCAGTCGTGTGCAAAAGATTGTCGACAGCGTGCACCAACACATTCCACAAGTGTTAAATTATCATGCGACCCACAAAAATGTGCCACGCTCCATTGCCGATGCTGAGAAAGTCGGCAAAGTGCCGGTTATACCACCGAAAGTGCAACAAATTGTGGAACATGCACACACACACATTCCACAAGTCATCAACCATCACATACAACAACAGAAGCAGCAGAAAGAAGTTGTTGATCAACAAAATGTTGTTGCTGCACGCAGTCAACCCAGCCAACCATCAACGACGGTGCCATCACAAGTGCAAGAAGTTATCCAAAATGTGAATAAACACATTCCACAAATGATCCAGTACCTCACGCAACAAGCGCAGAAACTTCAAGACTTCATTAGCAAATTTCAACAACAACAACAGCAGTTAGCACAAGATATCGGTGCGGTGGGACAACAACATTCACAAGTGGTGTTGCCACAAATACCCTCTAAAGTGCAGAAGATCGTTGAACAGGCACATAAACACATTCCACAAGTGATCAACCATGCCAAGCAGCACAAGGCACAGGTACAAAAGCAGCAGCAACAACAACAACAGCAACAGGGTGTAGCTCAATCAGTGGCAGATGTTGTGGGAAAACTCGTTGATCACATACAACAAGAGAAACCACAGGGCATCATCCAACCCGGCAAGGTCGAGCATCAACACGTTCCACAAGTCATCGGCCACGTCCAACAGGTACAACAACAGCAGGTGGCAGGAGCCGGCAAGCCAGTCGTTGAAGTTGAAATTTGAACGCCATTTTTTCATTCTCACTCGAGCTCATTTTCCTTAGCCCCCGTTTGACTAGAGTTTTATTTAGCAAAAGAAAATTCACTGCCTCCACATTTTCGATATAAAATTTTTTTTCGAAAACATATAAACTGAGAGTTTTATTTTCAAGTTGGAGTATAGTAGACTTGCTTTTGGGTACACCTTTACGGTCTCAAGGGTATACTTAATTGCCACTCTTGCGTCCACCTCACGCGTCCAGTAAACGTGAGTAACTTTTGTGCAAACGACGGTAGCCCATCTATGTGGACGAACCTTTGGCTTCCGGATAAGAGTCACACAGTTTCAAGAAGTCACTCCAGCATATTCGGTTAAAGGTCTTACTGGAGTCTTATTGCAGCTACCGTTCAGCAGCGCTGCGGCTTCGAACGTGCGTCGGTCTTAACCCTCTCATAGCAAAATTTGGAACCTGTCGCGTAAGAAGCTACTCCAATAAAAAGGAGATTTGAGCTGACGTCCACGATAATCGTACTAAAGACCATGATTTCGTGGCATGCAGCGGGAATATGTGGTCCGTGAATCGAGAAAGTGTCGATGCACATTTTTAGAAAACACGTATAATCCCAAGAAACAATCCTAAAACAGGGAGGACGCTAGCTCCTTTTGAATCACGGAATGTGGCCACGTGATCATAACTACAACTTTGTCTTTTAAGCTGTGAGGTGGGACGTATCAATAAATTATTGTGGAGCAGATAAACTACACTGTTATTTGCATTAATCCGGTTCAGACGATACTCCCAAACAAAAGAGAGTAAATACTGCTTGGCGTTCAAGAAAAATTAAGAGAAATTGTCTAAAACCTTAGTGTGTATAATAGTTATAATAAACGGAGTCTTTTTTTTAGACATTCGGTCTTCAATGAGGCAATACTGATCTCGGAGTTGGTATACTGACACCTGTAACTTTACTTGTGCTCAGCCTGATTCGATTTCTTTTGAAGAAGCTCCGAAATAGTCCATTCTCCTGCACGACCAACGATTGCAGCTGTACTCATTAATAAATTTAAAATTAATAATGCTGCAGTCAAGGGGTGACGCTATAGAGCCTGAATTAGAATTGGGACGATCATTGGTTCCAACAAGTTACCGTTATAAGCCATACGAGACGCAACGAGACCATCAATTTTTTGTGAGAAACTTTTGGTGAGCACATTAAGTTCCGTGGGGGGCCAGTTATTGCTGCTCAGTTGCAATTTTTGTTAGTATCTTCGTTTTTGCTCTCTCTCGAATTGTGGTAAATACGAGATTTTGTAAGAGAAATGAAGAAATTTCTTTGAAAATACAATTATTTTAACAAAAATAATTTTTTTTTTATAATTTTGCAATTTAATAAAATTGTTGAAAATCAAGTTTTTAGCGAAATAAGTACGAGCGAAATTAATTAGAGAATACGAAAGTATGCAGGTGAGTTGAAGAAACCGGGCATATTTAATATTAATAATTTTATTTAATTTATTTTTTTACTTATATTTTTTGCTTAATTCGCTCCTACAGATATCACTTTTTGTATAGCATTTGCTGTCATCCGCAATGATCAAAATCACATACAGAGCCTTTCGATTAACCAAGAGTTTCCACAGCTTGTACAGCAGCGTCTTGTGGTGCCAAGATTTGTGCGAGATAATGATTGGCGTCCAGGACATTACCATATTGTGGCAACTTCACTTTCACCGCCTGCAAAATGGGCTTGTGTACGACGCCAACACCCGACAAGGCACCAGCAGAGGGTAGCAGAAGTAGCTCTTCACTGGATGCCGAGGATATGGAGCTAATGGATTGTGGTATGATTGGTTGCGGTTGCTCAACAACAGGTGGCCTAATTATAAGCTCCTCACTCGAGGCGGACGATAGAGAGTCGATTACGGGCACGCGTACTCTGTAAGCGCTGACGCAGAGGAAAGCTGTGCAGTTGTGAGAGGAAAACAAAAAATGCTTGATTAAATGGAGAATTCACTAAATAATGGTACTTACTTGTTATGAAGGCGACAAAGAATTTCATTTTGCTACTGCTTGTGCGTTGTGTAAATTCACTGTTGAACTGTTGATTGAGTTGACAAATAAAAGCTTTTATATGCCGTGCTGTGCTCTTGGGCGGACGCCTCACCCAAAAAAAAAGTTTTAAATTTAACTTATTCTACGACTGTTGCGGTCTACTTATTGGTTGGCCGCCAGGAGCTTTGTGTGTTTACTTTGAAATTTCGACAATTTCTCCAAATTCTTGCAAATTTCGCCATGGAATTGCATTACGGCGAAAATACGCACGGCAGCGCGTGTCCCAAAAACAATATCTACTGTTATTTATGTGAAATTGAAGTATTTTAATTTTGGTACTTTTTCAATAGTTTCTGCTGACTGTTTTTGCTTACTCATCTGTTGTTGTTTGGCTTTCATTCATTTTTTTACACACCCACTTCATTACTCATGCAGCCTCCAAGTGCATTTGCATATGTAAATGTGTGAGGGTGGGCCCCAACTGCTCATGCCGTATTTTCTTAATTTCTTTGATTCTCTTTTAGTGTTTTGGGTTCGCACTCCATCTAATATCCTTTGCCGCGTCTTCAAAGGTCCCATATCAAGAGCTGAGTCTAAGCTTTCCTTCTGCTGCCATCCGCCGGGTCTACATGGCTCTTTGTAAAACTCAATGTAAGCTGATTTTCCTGGGAAGTTCTTTGAAATCACTTCTTCTCGGTGAACTTTCTTTTCTGTCCGAAGTTTTCGCTTTGATGAAGAAAACTGGCGTCAATCTGGCAGACCTGTAACTCGAATTCGGTGCACTTATCGAACCTGAGAACAATGTGATTGCGTAATATTTCCGGCGTCTATACTGTCCTTGAACTGGATAATGGCAACAGGGCAAAATTCTAGTCTGCCAAATACTATTTTGAAGTAAAGTTTGTGTATAGGATATCATCTTCATTAATCTAGCCGCTTGTCGCCAATCAGAGAGACCATATGAAACCTTCCTTACATCTTTATCTGCTATTTCTAAGGTAGTGGATACCTTCAACTTCCTCTGCTTCCAGCGATGAGCAACTAGAATGTCGTTGTCCATAAGAGCAATATGAACTCGTCAGACTAGCTGCGGTGGCTGTATACCGTTGAGCCTGTACAATATCCTAGTCAGGTATTTGAGCCTGCGCGACCACCTGCTGATTTATAAGAGTAAGTTTTTCGAGTCTCGATTCATGAATGGAATTTACTCAGTTGTTTTTTTTTTGTCTGTGGTGGCCTTTGAAAGACACAGCTTATATTCTAATTACCCTCTGAGGTTAAAATCTACTTTTTCTTGCGAAGAATTTTGCTAAGAAGTTGATTGTTGTGGCAATATTATTTGCACAACAGAGAAGCCTATTTTGGCAGGTGGATTTCTGTAGTATGATTTTGTCTAGGAATCATACATTTTTCGATTGGGATACCGTCGTGAAATGCATTAGTGTTTGTTCAGTCAGAAGTCGTTTCCCACATATGAGGGACCCAGATTTATAAACCGTTTCCGGGCATGTTCGGGATTTGTCAGGGAAGCAATGGCTTTCATGTCAAAAATCCTCTGATTGATCCTCCTTGCTAGAGACGTTTTGGAGTATTCTTTTAACTACATTTTTATCTTGGAGTAGGTCCGAACCGGGCTTAAAATAGTACTGAAACATAAATGTAGCCCTTCGGAACCTAAGTCTTTATAGGAAATATATTTTTTTCATCACCATATTGAGGGTTAATATCTAAGCACTGGCTGAGCGAACAGAGTATTCGATAGGTAAAAGACTCCACGTCCGAATGTTTGTGTTCATCTTAAGACGATAAGAAGTAAAGGATTTCTCGGTGATAAAACAACGCGTTTGACCGTGCTCCTCAACCCATGTGTGTCTTGATGTCTTTTCAACAAATGAAGAGATCTGTAATATACACTGAGCTGCCTCCGCAAGACTATTGGATTTTTATGAAGAGCTCTGAATTTTCGCTACCGAATTAGAGAAATCAGTTTTCTATAATTTTTGGATGTTGGTCAAACCCTATATTATAGTTTTCAAAAGTTTCGTAGGGAAGAGATTCATTATTGGAATAATACTCCCTGTGTAGCACTTCTTATGACTAGAGAATTCTCACTTTTATAGAAAACCTTTTTTTCTGAGTGACGCCTGGGCAGAGGATTCATGTTTCCATTTCCAAACACTCATCTGTAGTACCCCCGTACGCTGGAACTGGTTGGAGTAAAGAGTGAGTCCTGAAGCTGCTTTTCAAAAATCGAGAAACCTACAGTTGAAAATCGTCTTAGAGCATCTTGTTGCTGGATTATGAACTCGAGCTCCAGCTTAATCTTTTCTACTTTATCCACAGATAAAAAACAAACTATTCACAAAAGCTTGCAAACAATTCCGGAAAAAGGACTTGTTTGGTATGGACTATGGGTCGGCGACGTCGTAGGGTCGTACCGGTTTTATGATATCGACTGCAGAAGCGTTAATTTGAATAGCTGGACTTTTTTAAAGATAGTTTCAACAAGACCAGGAACTTTTATTTCATATCAGCTATACACTCGGAGAGCTTGACATTCCCTGCCGAGGGGCGCCCGAAGTTGGAAAAACTAATTTTCTGTAATTTTTGTATTTTTAAATGAACCGTCGAACCACGCCTCTTACCTTGGTTATCCGTAGAGCAGTACGCACTGCTAACCACTCAGCTTTTGCGGCCGTTCTTTTAGAAGGTGTACATTTTTTCCTCGGACCAATTATAAACATAAATTTTCCAAAAAAAACTTTAAGGGCCTGGACGGGAATAAAAACCCACAACTTTGATTTAAGTCGCATATGTACGTGTATATATATTTTTTAATTTATCATTCAATTAATGCAATAATTTCGAGCTCAGTTACTACCCTACACTGCTTACATCCTTCGAAGATTGAAAATTAAAATCAGGAATGCCACTTTTAACGTTTCACAGCGGATCCTCGGTCCAGGGTCTGGTCACACTTTACACAGCGGCATCTTGTGGCGCAAAGATTTGCGCAAGCATATGATTGTTGCCTAAAAGCGCACCATATAGTGGACTCTTTACCTTCACGGCCTGCAGAATGGGCTTTCCAAGTACGCCGACACCGGTTAGCTGTATTTGACGTGGTCCACCATGTGGTAAGACAATCAACTCCTCACTGGACGCCGAGGATATAGAGTCGACGATTGGTTTGGGCAAAATGGATGGTTGAGGTTGGCCAACAACTGGTGGTCTAATAATGAGCTCCTCACTGGAGGCCGAAGAAATTGAATCAACACGTACTCTGTAGGCATTGACGCAGACGAGAGCTGTGGAAGAGGCAAAAAAAAGTGAGGTTTCAAACAGATTTCTGGAGTCTATGGTTATTGTGACTTACTTGTTAATAATGCAATAAGGAATTTCATATTGCTGCTTTTGGTGAACTCGGCTCTTTACTGTCTGTTGTTGGGAAAAATGAACTGTTATATATACCTCCGTAGTTGAGCGCAGCATAGACTGGGTGGAGACTGCATCTTACTGCTTATACCAAAAATATTTAAATTTAAATTATTTTTTTTTTTTTTAAATTCATCAAACTGTCTCCTGCCTCTCAGCGAATTTTCTTGCCATCTCTCACTTTTATCTGCAATTTCTTCAGTTTCTTGCATCTCTCGCCGCCTTGCAATTGCATTAAGTCAAAAATACATCTCGGCTCGCGTGTCACAAAGGTAAATCACTTTGTTATTTATATATATATATATATATATATATATATATATATATGTATGTGAGCTTGCATTATTTAAATTTGGTTTCTTTTTCATCAGCTTCGCCTGTCTGCCGTCTGCTGTCTGTGCTTACTCATTTGTTATTGTTATTTTCTTTACAAAATCACTTCGTAACTCACAGATATTTCTTATTTGTATGCAAATTAGTGAGGGTAGGTCCACATAAACAGGTCTCAGTATTCTCCATACGATAACGTCGTTAACAATTCAAACATGAATTAAATTGATTTCAGACTTTGAATTTCTTTTTCGGTAAGTCTTATTCCCTGGCGGCCGCGCGGCTAGCATTGCGTACTAACATTTGGTGAGCAAGGGCTGCTGTACCGGTTCTTCCAACATCCAAATTAATTCTTCGAATTGCGGCCATCACTAGGCAGAGAGTGTCAAATCCTCCGAGAAACGAAATTCAAAGCTGCCCATAAAAATCCATCGTCCGTTCGGAGGCGTCTTGGAATGAACTATAGACACTTCCATTTTTTGGAAAGCATCAAAATGCACACATCAAATTGGTGGAGGAGGAGCTCAACGAAATTTGCTTCAGCGGTGGTAAAACGTTTTATATATATTCCACTTCTGAAGTATTTTCCACAGAAGACCGCCTAGCACTGCTTGGAGTCATCCAATACTCTGAGATTCAATAATAGCTGCGGATATACTGAGAACTTTGTTGGATGGTTCGCTGATAAGAATGGGTTGGAGACCTCTACATGGGTAGGCACACTTAATTCCCCTATCATTGTGGATCTGAACTTAATATTATTATCTGTTATCCCTAATGAATTGTTTTACGTGTGGGGGAAACGTACTCGCTAATCTCCACTAAGTTACACTGCCGCCTATAGCATCTTTTAAGATCACCAATATATGGCGGGTCGGGTACTCACAACGGTGGTACGCCGTGGTGGTACGAGTTTCGTGCTCTTTTGACGTTCTCTGAACTCAGTTGATTCAAGCTTACCTAGTGTTTGAGTTGTTAGTTCAGATTTATATGTAAAGTCTGTACACCTTCAAGTTTACTAAGTTCGCTTTTGCTTAGTGCTAGTAATAGCAGTGACAGGCTTAGTGACGGCCTCAACCCTTAATAGTTCGTCCGCCATTTATAGACGGCACAAAAGCGAAGATTGTCTGCCTCATTTTAACTATTTGTCTTCTCAGTCTTGCACTTTATATTGATAAATCTGTCTGCTTTGGATAACCTTATTCGAATCTTTCTACCTTGAACCTAAAATATTTTCCCAGCAGGCGACCATTTTGCACCTCTAATAAGCTCACGATTTCTCCTTGGAAGACCGAGTTTTAGTTATTAAGTTTGAATCAAATTTCACTATTGGGGTGGTCATAGAAAAATCCAGCTCATCCAACTCACCTCGCACATATATCAGCCAATATAGCTGAGGATAATCATACCGTTACCGATGGTCTTGTCTTTCACAAAGCATTTCTGACTTGGAAAGGAGTAGAGGCTTCCACTTGGCAGAAAGTTTCCTTGACTTTCTCGTAGAAAGCCAAACCTCAGCTCAATCTGGATTTTCGGCGTGCCCTTTGCCAATCAGTCCAATACTTTACCATACGTGCGGTCTACAGCGAATTTCACCGTTGCAGAATACTGGCCAAAGAAGATTATTTGTTCTAGAAAAATTGCCTTCTGAAGGTGGAATAATATTTCGAGAACAGCAAAAAATATATATGTATGCAGACGCTGTAACATCAGCATGATTGGTAAGAAGCTCAATGACCTCTGGAAAGAAACCCCATGGTAAAAATTTCAACTAAAAACTTTAGATGGGCACTTTGTCAGTATGTCATCTGGCAGTTGTTGATTTTCTGGGCCCGAGGGAGATGAGAGGCTCAAAGTATTGTGGAAAAAAGGTTCAAGTTTCCATTTTCTTGAGAGAGAGAATAAAATAGTTATTGATATGAAAGAGCTGAAGAAAGATTAATCCGTAAGAGACCGGGATTTGTTCGAAACAATGTAAGAGTGTATGAGAGTCAAGGAAGAAGTAGCTGATTCTAAAAGAATCTTACATAGCCGCAAGGGCATTTGAAAAGAGTACACCTCATCTTATTCTCGACAGGCGGTTTAGTAAATGGCTCAGGGAATGGAGTCAGCACAAACAAAATTATTAGATTAATAAGAAAGGCCAACAAGAATTAATGGCATATCTGCTGGCAAATGCTCTCTAATTAAACCCATTAAATACAGTTAGCTTCTCGACATGAAGTAATGCACACAAAAAAAAAAAAGTTGAAGACGAGCTAAACGCATAACGAAGCTGAAACCGAGTGCACCGTACAAGAAGTGAAGAAAACCTGTTGATAGAGCTGCAAAAATGTCTATAGTGGGGTTACGCATTTAACCAGTTCTGCCCGCCGGTAGCCAAAAGCAACGCCAATACTTGTTATAGAAGTACGTAGCGATGGGCTTGCAGCACGCAACATGCCACATGCGTGTTGCACTAACTATTTGGGCTTAAAAAAGATTTTTCACTGCGTTGCATTTATCTGTGAGTTATCTGAGAGAAAAATGCGTTTGTGGCACAAAAGTGCGGCTGCAAGTGGAGCGTGAATGCAAATTGTTGAACGCCCAAAACACGCAAATAAATTACAAATGCGTTAAGATTACAACTGGCGCATAGCTGAGCGTAAATAAATTCGTGTTAACATATATTTCGATGATAAATGAGGGTGTGTCCAGAGATAGTGATAAATGGAATGCGATTAGTTTGCGTTGTGCGTGAGTGTTGGAGAGGCGGATGGATTAAAAATTGTGAATAATCAAATTTTTTTGTAATTTTTTTGTTGTTTTATTCTAGTTTGTTTTAACTAATTTTTATTTAACCAGTTTCATCACTTAATAAAATGTGAAATAAATTTTTATTTTTTTTCTTGGGTTTATTTAATTTTTATTTTAATTTATTTAATTTTAATTTTCTTTATTTTTAATTATATTTCATTTTTTAATACTTTTTATATAATTTAATCAAAATAAATTTTTTATCACATTTTTTGTTTTATTTTCCTTGTTTTAAAGTACTTGTTTTATTTAATTTTTTTGTTTTATTTTGTTTTTTTTTATACTATTCTGTTTTATTCTCTTTTATCATTTTTTATTTCATTTAATTTTGCTTTATTTTATTTCATTTTATTATTGTTTTAGTTTATTTTAATACATATTATTTATTTTTTTTATTTAATTTTATTTTATACTTTCAAATTTTATATTATTTTTATGTTACTAGAATTTATTTCACTTAATTTTTTATCTTACAATAGTTAATTTATTTCATTTAATTTCATTTTATTTTATTTTATTTTATTTTATTTTATTTTATTTTATATTATATTATTCCATTTCATTTTATTTTAATTTATTTTTTTATGTGACTTTATTTTATATTACATTAAACTATGTAATTATTTATAATTATATTTCAAATAAATAATAATAATAATAATACATTAAACTATTTTATTTTGTTTTAATTTTTTTATTATTTTATCTTAAATTATGCCATTTTATTTTAATTTGTTTGTTTTTTTTATTGTATTAAATTTTGCTTCACTTTATTTCACTTTATTATATACTATTTACATTATTTCATTTTGTTTTAAATTATATTATTTCATTTCAATTTATATTATATTTTAGTTTAATTTATATTAATTCCTTTTTTATATTTTTTTGTTTTACTTTATTTAATTTAATTTAACTTTTTCATAATTGTTTTTGCAGCCATGATATATAGTAATTACTGATATAAAGTATTACCTTTTTTTTTAATTTAATTTTTTAAATTTATTTTGTGATTTTAATTTATTCTATTTACGATTATTGTTATTTTGTTACATTTTATTTCAATTAATTTAATTTTATTTATTTTATTTTATTTTACTTTGAACTTATTAATTTAATTTAAATTAAAGAAGTTTTAATTATCATATTTCATTAAATTTTTTTTTTCATTTAATTTATTTTCTCCTTAATTTTTTTTCATTTTTGCAACTAGTCTAGTGCTCAAAAGAATTACATTCTACATTCTCCCTACCTTTCTGTGCAAGTTCTTTCCCGGCCTTTTTTATTTCAATATATATTATATTTATATAATTTTAATTAAATCACTTATTTATTTCATATATTTTATTTAATATTATTTTATTTTATTTGTCCTATTATTTTATTACATATTAATTTTTCATTTGTTGTTCTACTTTCATTTCATTTTATTTTAGTTTATTTCATTTAATTAAATCATCAACGTCTTCAACGGCTATCACTGTCAATCATTATTATTATAATTTTTTTATTTTGAAATTTTTCATTTAATTCAAATTTATTTGTTGTTTCCTATCTGTCAGCATTTTTCACTTTGGGGTCGACATGAACTGAATAACCATCGATATTCTTTGCAAATTTCAAACTTGTGCAACTTTGACCCACTTCTACTCTGAGAACTATAAACTTTTGACTTGAGTTCATTGAGGCGTGCAAGAAATATGATTATGAAATGTTTGAAGGTGCATATGTGGAATGTATTTTCTTTACAAATACCACTCACCTTTGGCCCAAAACTTATTCGAGCATGAAATTGCGAAAAATTTTCTTTATCCTCCGCAAATGAGGAATAAAAAAATACTTG